ATCAGAGCTGGAACAGATCCAGTGACCAACAATGGCGAATCAACCTCCTCCCAACACACCACCTGGTGGTAATCCGCAGCGCAGTGGCCCGATTCCCTTCGGGAGCTTCGATCCACAATCCAACACGTCGAACAACGGCAGCACCAGCACTAACAACAACTCCAGAGATGGTCGCCCAGATCTGGTCTTCGGTAATCCATTCTATATCAACCCAAACGAGAACATTTCCCAATCGATTGTTTCTGAGAATCTAGATGGTCCTAATTACCAGATGTGGCAACGTGCAGTTCGTATGGCCTTGAAAACTAAACATAAGCTGGGTTTCATCGATGGTTCTATTCCTATGCCTGATATGGGTGATGATTCGTTTGTGATGTGGGATGCTTGTAATACCCTTGTTCTGTGCTGGATCTTGAATTCCATTGACAAAGAAATTAGGAGAAGTGTTATGCAGCACGAGAATGCTCGTCTTCTCTGGACTGAACTTAAGAATCGTTTTGGAGTTACAAATGCTATGAAGTTAGCCAATCTGCAGGATCAGATTCTTGCTTGTAAACAGGGCACTCTCAACATCACACAGTACTACACTGCTTTTAAGGGTTTATGGGAAGAAAATCTTCAATTCAATCCCATTGTAGATTGTGACTGTGTTGCCCAGAGGACTCGTCCTTGTGCAGCTGTGGAAGCTTTCAAGCAAAAACAAGAAGTAGAGTACCTGATTCGCTTCTTGAAAGGTTTGAGGCCAGAATATGAAGTGATCCATACACAGCTGCTGATGATGAAGCCTTTACCAACAGTGGATAATGCTGTGAATGATCTTCTTCAGCATGAGCAGAAGATCAAAGGGGATAAAGCTGGAGTGACAAGGGGAGTGCAGACTGTAGCTCTTGCTGTTCAGAATCAGAACAAGTCTGCACCTAATCCAAGCTCAAGTTCAGATGGGCCTAAGTTCTGCAGATATTGTAAGAAGGAGAACCATAACATTGAAGACTGTTATCGTCTGAAGAACAAGAAGGCAAGAATGGCTGGAAGTAATGTTGTTGCAGCTGTGTCACAAGGTGATTCTTCCACTGACAGTGACTCAGCCAGTTCAGACACAAAACTCAGCATAGACACTAAAAGCACAAGCTCCAGCATCAGCCTGTCTTCAGATGAGTTGAACAAACTAAGGTTCCTTCTGCAATCAGTTTCCTCATCTCCCAGTCCTTCACCACCAGCATCTCCATCCATCAATCACCTTGCCTTCTCAGTGGCACAGCATATTCCACACTTTCCTAATCATGCTGGTAAATACATCTTATCTTCTTATCTACAGCATAAGAATGATTCACTTATGGAGGTCTGGATCCTAGACACTGGGGCTTCAGACCATATTGCATGTAACTTGCATGCTTTTATTGAATCTACTCCTGTGTTTGGTCAGTTTGTTTTCTTAACTAATGGCACTAAAGTGGCAGTTAGTCATATAGGCAGAGTAAGACTTCCTACCAACCTTATCCTTGACAATGTCCTATTAGTGCCTAGCTTCACCTTCAATTTAGTGTCAGTTAGCAAACTGACTAATGACCTTCCCATTTCCTTACATTTTGAATCTGATTCTTGCCAAATTCAGGACCTCATGACCCAGAGCAGGACTGGTTTGGCAAAACAGATTAGAGGTCTCTACCAGTTGATTCCTAAGTCCACACAACCACTTCTCAAAACACCTCAGGCTGCTTCTACATACAACTTCTCTCCTCACACTATTGACCTTTGGCATTGGAGGCTTGGCCACCCTAGTAAACACAGAGAAAATTTGTCAATCCCTTGTAATAGGACTTCAGTTTTCCACTGTGAAACATGTCATTTTGCCAAACATAGAAGGCTTCCCTTTCCTAGCAGTACTAGTCATGCACAGACTGCATTTGAACTAATTCATGTGGACATATGGGGTCCTCTTGCTGTAAAATCCCATGAGGGATATTCCTATTTTCTGACAATAGTTGATGATTACTCTAGAGGTGTTTGGACTTACCTCATGAAGTTTAAATCAGAAACTAGTACCTTGTTAAAGGCTTTCTGTGTCATGGTTTTTAAGCAATTCTCCAAGCCTGTTAAAATTATTAGAAGTGACCAAGGCAGTGAATTTCACATGGCTGATTTCTATACTGAGCATGGGATTGTTCACCAACAGTCCTGTGTTGAAACACCTGAGCAAAATGCTCGTGTTGAACGCAAACATCAGCATATACTGAATGTTGCCAGGTCACTTCGATTCCAATCAGGCCTTCCTCTTACCTTTTGGAGTGATTGCATCCTCCATGCTGTTTTTCTTATCAACAGACTTCCTACCCCTGTCTTGGAAAATAAAACACCTTATGAATGCTTGTATGGCAAACCACCTAGCCTTGCTGGTTTGAAGGTTTTTGGTTGTCTCTCTTATGCTGCCACCTTGCACAGAGACAGGACCAAGTTTGACAGTAGGGCTAGGCAGTGCATCTTTCTTGGTTTTCCTACAGGGGTTAAAGGCTACAAACTCTATGATATCAACAATCATTCTTTCTTTATCTCTCGTGATGTAACTTTCTATGAAACTATCTTCCCATTTGCTGTTAATCAGTCTTCCACTTCTTCTTCTTCTACTTCTCCCACAGTTGCAGATCCAATCTATCCTGCACTTCCTCTTCTTTCCCCCACTTTACCCTCTTCTTCCCATTCATTTCCTTCTTCTTCTCAGCCTGCACCCCCTTCAGATGATCCTTTGTCTACTTCCACTCCTTCTTCCTCTTCTTCTGCACTGCCTACTGTCTCAGATGGGTCTCCATCTTCAGGTCAAACTACTGGTGTGCAGTCTGTGGGGGAGGATGCTGAGATTGAGGTCTTCCCTGATCCAGTTGACTCAGATGAGGCTGAGTATGTCAGGAAGTCCAGTCGAGTTAAAACTGTTCCTATATGGCATAAGGATTATCATGTTGACATTGCAGCCTCCTGTACCAAACACCATGTATGGCATTACTATACCTTTGAGCAACTCACACCTGCTCAACAGAAGGTTGCTATGAGTATTATGGTAAATGAGGAACCTACCTCATATGCTGAAGCCTGTAAAGATCCAAGGTGGAAGGAGGCTTGCAAAGAAGAATTAGCAGCACTGGAAGAGAATCAAACATGGGAAGTTGTTGAGCTTCCTAAGGGAAAGAGAACTGTGGGAACTAAGTGGGTGTTTAAGATTAAGTACAAAGCAGATGGCACCATTGAGAGATTCAAAGCAAGATTAGTAGCCAAAGGCTACACACAAATTTATGGAATAGATTTCCTTGATACATATTCCCCTGTGGCAAAGATAAATTCTGTCAAGACTCTTCTAGCAGTAGCAGCCTCCAAGGACTGGCACATACATCAGATGGATGTATCTAATGCATTCTTACATGGGGATTTGGATGAGGAAGTCTACCTTGAAATCCCACCTGGAGTTGACATCCCAAAAGGTTCAGGTTTGGTTTATAAACTCAAGAAATCTTTATATGGGCTTAAGCAAGCTAGTAGACAGTGGTTTGCTAAGTTAACTAGTGCTCTGATGAAAAATGGCTATTCACAAACTGCTTCAGATTATTCCATGTTTGTTAGATGGATCCAGGGAAGAGTTGTGGTTGTTTTAGTCTATGTGGATGATATTTTGATTGCTGGAAGTTACCTTGGTGATATTGAACAATTGAAAAAGTTCCTCAGTAAAGAATTCAAGGTAAAGGATCTGGGTCAGATGAACTACTTCCTTGGTCTAGAAGTTGTAAGAGATCACAAAGGAATCTCAGTTAGTCAGAGGAAATATTGCTTGGAACTACTCACTGAGACTGGTTTCCTTGAAGCAAAGGGCTGTTTATCTCCAGTAGACTGTAATGTGAAGTTGACAGCAGATCAAGGAGAGCCATTACCTAATCCAAGTGTTTATAGAAGGCTAATTGGTAGACTTTATTACTTGACCATTACTAGGCCTGATATAACGTATGCTATTCAGCAATTGGCACAGTTCCAAACAGCACCAAGTATTATTCATCTACAGGCAGCACACAGGGTTATCAGATATTTGAAACACACTCCTGGACAAGGCTTGTTGTTTAAGGCAGATTCCAAGTTGGAGCTTTCTGGTTTCTGTGATGCTGACTGGGCAAGTTGCCCTGACTCTAGGAGATCTTTGACAGGTTACTGCACATTCCTGGGTTCATCGTTGATTACATGGAAAACAAAGAAACAGACAACTGTCTCAAGGTCCTCGTCTGAAGCGGAATACAGAGCACTAGCTCAAGTAGTTTGTGAAGTACAGTGGCTGAGAAATTTGCTGCTGGAGATGGGGATTAAGGTTCCCTTACCAATTACTTTGTTTTGTGACAACAGGTCAGCTTTGCATATAGCTGAAAACCCAGTTTTCCACGAGAGAACCAAGCATATCGAGATTGACTGTCATGTCACTCGAGAGAGGCTCAAATCAGGTTTGATTAAGCTCAATCATGTAAGAACTGATGATCAACTTGCAGATTTATTCACTAAAGGAATGACTCGCTATCGACTGAGTTTTCTTCTTGGCAAGCTGGGAGTCTTCAATGCTTACTCGCCAGCTTGTGGGGGAGTATTGAACAAGGAAGATGAAGATGATTGAAGCTGCTACAGAATTCCCAGAAGACTGAAGCAGCTGCTGGTTTTACAGAGATCAAGAGGCAGAAATGTTTCGTTTCTGCCTCCCCTTCCATCTAACGAAGGCTAAGACTGAAGCGACGTCGTGGAGGCTTACTTACCGTTAGGTGGAACAAAGAGAGGCCAATCAACAGAAGACACATGGCGCTTTTTATTTACTGCATTTGTATTTCTGTTTTAACAGACATTTCAGTTTTTACTGTACTGCAACTTTACTCTTTTGAACCCAGTATAAATACAGAGATGAGATGGAGCTGAGCTCCTTGCGGGTTCCAATTTCTATACCGCCATTATACCTTCTTCTTCTTAAACCCTAAGCTCTCTGAGCTTTTCTACAGGATGGGCCCATCGTTGGATCTATCAAGGCGGAAAGGATCAATGGCAGCAAGGGTATACTTTGTTTGATCTTCAACGTACGCCAGAAACAACTCCCCATTCCGCGAGACTGCATCGTACGACGGCAATCTCACACGGTCCTTCATTAGCATCTGCGACCATTCCCCTGACTCGGAGCAAAACATGTCCAGTCGAATTGACATGTCCAGTTGATAAATACACACCACCCGGAAGCGGTAATTGGGGGAATAAGCAAACACTTGGCCATCTCCTAGCTCGATGTTGCAAACACTACGGGGCTGGCAGACTAACTTTGCATCCGCTCTGCCGCTCCCTTTGTCCCTCGAGGGCGCTAGCGGGAGGACGACCCACTGCTCCGTGAACGGGTTGCAGAGCAAGTACAATCTGTCCAATTCGGCGTAGACGGACTCTTCTTCGAACCGGCACAGGACCAAGTCCTTGAAGCAATCCGAAACAGACAGCTTGGTCCGAGCTTTCTGGGGCAGGGGGAGAAAGCAGAGGACGGAGTTGGGATCGTCTGAGGGGAGAAGCAGCGGTTGTGGTGGTGGTTCGTGGTGGGAAATGAAACGGCGATTGAATCTGGGGCAGGAGGTCAGGGCGCTCCACCGCTTGCAGACGAGTGCGCACCGGCCGGCGCATCTGGGATTTTGGAAGCTGCGAATCAGAATTTCTTCGAGGAGATCGTCTCCCAGTTTGCCGATGGGAGGTCGAGGTGGAGGAGGGTCTCGTTCGGAACCCACCCGACACCGTTTTGAAGGAGGAAACTTTGCGTCAAGTACCAGATCCCCACTGGATCGCCGGATCTGGGGCGCCATGACAGTGAACCAATTAGTAGATAGAACGAAACCAAAAGGGAAGAGTGCATCCATTAATACGCACACCTGCTATCCTTTTCTGTTTTGGTATGGTTTACCTTCTTTCTCTCTTCTTCTTAATGACACGGGCTAGTAACTAAAAGCGCCGGAAAACTACCGTCCATCGAGGTTTTCCCGTCGGTCGGCAATCTCTTTTGGATTATCGATACAAATTAAGATGTCTTCACACATCATCACCAAACAAGTGAGAGACAACAACATGCGAAGAAATACAAGTTATCTACGAGATACCCTTTACTAGGGGTGGTCATTGGGTGGGTCGGGTGGATTTTGACCATAAAATGCACCCACCCGCGCTTAAACGGATTGATAATTTTTAACCCACCACCCACCCACATTTAGTTTCGGGTTGGGTCGGGCGGATGGTGGATGATGCGGGTGGGTTTGTGGGTTCACCCACATCACAACGTATATAATATAAAGGAGTCAACTTGACATGATAATAGGTGAAGAGAATCATCGAGGGAAACAAGAAGTTGAAACAGGGCGAAAAATGTCGAATTAGTTCTTAAATTGGATAGAAATTCTATTATGAAAGAGTTTTCTACAGATTGAGACGATTATTAGGTGCAAGGAACTAAGGAAAATAATTCCACAAAGAAAAGAGCGATGATCTAGGCACAAGAATTAGAGGAAAAAGTAAAGGGAAGAAGAGGGGATCTCTATTTGGAAGGTTGGCTTTGAGGTTCAAACTCAAGGAGCAGTCCGAGTTTATATCTAACGTCTCCACTCTCCTCTCTCTAGCGCCAACGACTTTGATCTTTTTGTTGTTGGGTTGAGCGGGTCACCCGCACACTCACCCACCACCCACCCACTACCCGGCGGATGGCTCCCAGCGCAACCCGTCACCCACCCACAGACCCACCCACTTAACGAAATTCGGGTCAAATGCGGGTGGGTCGGTCCAAACCCGCGGATGATCCGCCCGCATGCCCAGCCCTACCCTTTACCACAACCTAAGATGACACAACCAACCATATCAAACAATGGGCTAGCTACACCACAAAAATTTATATAGACGTGAATAACCAATAGCGAATGTGTGAGTTTTCCAAGGGCTTAATTGCAAGTTTGGTCACTCGAATTGCTACAAAATTTCACGTTTGTCACTCAAATTAATTTATTCCATTTATAGTCACTTAAATTAGGTTAACAGTCCAAGTTTGGTCACTGGCCGTTAGTCTCCGTTAACTTTTGCTGATGTGGCGGTCAACTCTTATAGTTGACCGTTAAATGAGTGACGTGGGGATTAAAAAATAATAAAATAATTTAATTTAATTATTTTTTATTTTCCATCTAATTATTATAAAAAAAAAACCTAATTCCTTTTAACCGCTATCAGTCACACAAACTTAATCAAATTTGGAATTTCGGAGTAACTTTGATAGATAGAAAGGTGAACAGTTCCTTTCTCCCCTTTTTGTTGAGAAAGTGATACAGGATCGTAGATGCGAGAAAGGAGATGCGGAACCCCAGGAAAAGGCGGACTGGAAAGCAGCCAAATTACCGGCAAATATGGTGCAAAAACAGGAATCGGGAAGAAGAGAGGAATATCAGTTTAACCTGGAAGGTGACGGCGGCGAGCGGGGCGGCCATGCCTCTGTATAAGGCGGCAGGGCCATCGGTGGCGAGAACCCGGCGAAGAATGGTGAGAGCGGAGGACCCTGAATTGGTCTGCTGCTGGCGGATGCGCAAGGTGTCGAGAGGGTACCCAGCGACTATTCCGGCTGTGCCTCCGAACCCGCCGGCTACGAACTCTTTCCCCCAGCTGCTGGCGAGAAATTCCGGCCAGAAGTCCATAATCTCATTCTCCGTCCAAAATCAAATCTGGCAGTTCTCTCTCTCTCTCTCTCTCTGGTCCAGAAAGTTGAAAGCCAAATCCAGGGAGAAAGCCCCTGCCTTTATTGGGTTTCTTATTATAGGTAACTGGTATTTGACGCCTTGAAGCAGGAAACTGAGGGCTCAGCCCTTTATTGATGACCAGGGTCGATCAGCGCCTTGAAGCAGGAGATCGAGAATGCCGCGAGGTACCAGACGACGAAGGAGCCGAAGACGACGCAGCTCATCAGCGGTGGAAAATAACAATTAAAAGTAATTAGGTTTTTTTTATTTTTATAATAATTAGGTGGAAAATAAAAAATAATTAAATTATTTTATTTTATTATTTTATAATCGCCACGTCACTCATTTAACGGTCAACTATAAGAGTTGACCGCCACATCAGCAAAAGTTAACGGAGACTAACGGCCAGTGACCAAACTTGGACTGTTAACCTAATTTAAATGACTATAAATGAAATAAATTAATTTGAGTGACAAACGTGAAATTTTGTAGCAATTCGAGTGACCAAACTTGCAATTAAGCCGTTTTCCTAGCTTCTTGAAAGTGAAAAACACCCTTGTGATTGGCTGGTCAACTATCAGGGAATAATTCGAAACATTTTCCCCTGATATCAACGCATCTACATCATCACCCCCACATCGAAAAATCCATCGTCTCAACCTCAATCTCTTATCTCAAATCCTCAACGTCTAGCGCCACGGGCGGCTTCTGCACAAAGTATATGTATTTGCGTTTTGTGGTTTCCTTCATGACACTGAATCGTATTAAAAAAAAAGTCGCGCCACGAATGATGACGGTTATTCATGCCGCGATATTAATCATAATTATTGTTAGCTGTACTACCACTACTACAGTTCCTTCTGCAGCAGCTCAGATGGATCCAATATGCCTTCTTCCCGCGCTCGGCGACGGCGCCTTCTTCTGCAACAGCGACGACTTGCCTTTCGATGACGCGCAAAACCTGCAGGCGGAGGTGCTGTCTTCCACCCGAAGCAACTTCGTCGCTAGGCTTCCGGACAGCCGGGCCGGCGTTTGCAGCACGGATACGTACGCTGCTGCCGGCGGCGGAAGCATCGAGCTCTCCGGCTTCGCGTCCTGCCTCGACGAGGGGAAACCTCAGGGGGATTGCGAGAGGTGTTTGTTGGGCGGCAGCGAGATGATCAAAACAAGCTGTCCCGGCAAGGCCGGGGCTCGGGCCGGCTCCGACGTCTGCTGTATTAGGTACGAGCAGTACAGTTTTTGTTGAAACGGGATGTCTTTTTCATTGTAATGATCGATCTAGAACTTCGATACTGGACCATTTGTTATTAATGTACCTGCGACCAAGGAATCTCGTTTGATTAGCTATACAAGTTAAAAAAATTCCTTGTATTTGTTTATAATAAAGAAACATGAGCAAATATTTAATGTTGCTGAACTTGTAGAATCTCAAATACATAGACACAAGTAGAAGGCCAACAATGTCCTTCAACTTGTGGTTTAGGTGATTGTTGTTGAACATGTATGGGTTTAATGCCACGTACGGGCAGCGTCTGCAGGTGTGTATATATATATGGTATGTGCAGCAAGTATTAGTCCATTCTTCAACTGATTCATAGCCGAAACCAACAACGTTTGTCATGCTAATGATAATCACCACTGCCAATATGATTACTATAATTACTGTCAGATATATTACAGCTACTTATGCAGCTCAGATCGATCCAATATGCCTCGCTCCCGCGATCAGTAGTGAATCCTACTACTGCAAGTCTGCAACTAAAGACAGCTTTCCTTTTGGGGCATCATACCTGCTGGTGGAAGAACCAGTGGGAATCGTGTCAGTAACCGTATATGTTGTATTAGGTACGAGCAGTACAGTTTTTGCTGAAATGGAATGCCGAGATCCCGATCGAATGCTAGCTACAGGTAGACTAGCTATGACATATATGCTTTCTGCAAGTAATGTTGGAAATTAAACTTGGGAATGGATGGTATGGTTGGTTTGTGTATGCAGAGAGCACTAATTCTCTCTTGTCATCACTTTTGATATATTTGATTATGTTTGCAGTAAGCAATGCAATGTATGAACACAGAAATGACTTCAGGGTATCAGTACTAAATGGTGCAGTCAAATATTGGACACTCATAATATTGTCAACATGTTCCCTAATTCTACAGAACTCTGGTAATCTGCTACGATTGTCTGTGGAATAGATCAACTTATTTGTACCACAAACAGCCATTTGTCTGGTCCAATGAATCGAATCTCACTATTCATGGAATTCGAGAAATTACCTTGCTGAAGACTATGAATTTCTTAGGCAATTGGGATGTCCATTGGTGTCATATGCCGTCCTTGGATGTAGCCAAAACATCAAGCATGCTTGAAAAGCTTCATACTTAGCCAGTGGAAGTATACGGCAACGATAAGGATGGGCAGTGTCAATGGCACAAGGAAACAGTAATACCTGTAAAAAAAACAGTCCAGCATCACAAAGTTTATTGAGAATCTGTGAAAAATGTCTTCATCAAAATTTGCTCGTCGGAAGGTCTCTCACAATTGGGGTAATTCATTATCATCTACTGCAGCTTAAAGATTCCCAATTTATGAAACTACAGAGCTTTAGAGAAACGAGTGTCTCACCTATCCTGCTGAACGGCTGAGATGATTGGATTTTCGGATAAAGGAAGAAGCTTTGATACGATGGCAGCAAAGAAAAAGCCCAGAAAAGAAACACAGCCGATTAAGATGAAGAACCAGCCCCAAAAGGTTGCCCTCCCCGCCGCCGAAGAATTCGATTGAGACCGTACCATTGTGTCAATTCAGCGGCGCCTTTTGCCAAACAGATGTAGAAATCGGATCCCTCTGCCGGCCACCGCCGAAATGAAACCACGGCCAAGAAAGAGATCGATTCGACGAGGCACCGCGTCTCTGCGCCGAACAACTGCGGCTCTCTTCCGGATTCTGGCAAGCTGCGAGTTCAATTTCAAAAGCTTTGGCCTTTGGGGAAAGAAGTACAGATCGCCAAGGGCCAATCCGGCGAATTGTAAGGCAGAAAAACTTTAAGGGGTCGTTTGGATTAGTGTTTTTAATTTGAGTGATTTGAGAGAGATTTGGAATCAAATCACTCGTTTTAAAACCCAGATTTTTTATTCGAGAGATTTGTGTGGGATTTTCTCCAAATCACTTGTTTGGCAAGCAAAAAGGGATTTTAAATTGAAAATGGAAAATTACATCTTACCCTTGGACATTCCCTATCTGTACACGAAGGAAGGGAACAAAAAGAAGCATATTGGGTTCCTTCTTCCTCGTGCCGAGCGCTCTTCTTCCCTGCCATTCATTCCCTCACTTCGTCGTTCCGCTCTACCACTGTGGGGGAGTTGCTGCTGTTCATTGAGTTCGTCCCTTTCAATTGAATGTCCTTGGTTCGTTGGTTTGATGAATTAGGATTAGCTTCTTCAATTTGCAGGCCTCGGTTCTTGTCTTCCTCTGTTTGATATGGAAACCCAGAACCACGAGACAGTAAACAATTTGGTACCTATGCTATCCTTTGAGAAACAACCACAATCAAGGTGTAATAAACCCAAAACCCCTAGAGGAGAGACGGAGGAAGAACGGAGAATGAGGGTTTCACGAACTCACCTGCTGGAAGAAGGGTTCGACGCGGCAGATTCCCTCCGCGAAACGGAGTCGCTGCCGGTCATCACTCGGCGACAGCCGCTCTCTCGTCTTCGAGCTGCTTCATTTGGATGGGAGCAAGCAAACCCTCGCCTACACTACTGCAACAGATGGACAGAATTGATGGATAGACAGAGCAACGAAGGGTTAATAGAATAAGGGCAAAGTTGGATTTTCGGAAAAAAAGTATGGGCATATATGGAACAAATGAACAAAATATTGAGGAATTTCAAAATAGCTGGTGGTCATCAGCTATTTCACAATCCCACATATGTGGGTTTCTGAAATCCGGAATGTTTAAAATCTCTCATTGAAAAATTATTTTCCAAACGAGTGATTTTAATTAAAATCTCTCACAATGAGAGATTGTGCCCAAATCCCTCATTAAAAACACTAATCCAAACGACCCCCTAAAAGATATGAGAAGGTTTCGAAACAGGAGAAGGGAAAGAGACGTTTCGTGTTGAGAATTCGATGTTCTTGTTAAAGTTGTTACTGGTTGCCTGGAGCACGGCAGAATAAGGGCTGGGCCAATGATCTTCGTGGGCTGTCAGAAAATGGGCTTTATTAGGCTTTTATTTTATTTTCGCACCAATATCCAAAATAACAAAAATAGGATTGTGATATTCACAATTGTGACGAGATCACGTACTAATCATCGACTTGCAATTGCATATGTAGTTAAATATCATTATTTATTTTTTATAATGGAGTTAAATATTATTTTTAAACTATGACAAATAAAGTAAAAAGAAAAAATAAAATAAAGGATCTTGTTTTAGTAATTTTAGCTTTCATATGCAATTGCATTTTTCGCAAGCTTGCAAATATGTAATGGATAGCAACATCAATGTAATTGGTTTTGCAATTGCAAAACCTATGACATGTCATTTTGCAATTGGAAATGCAATATCAAATGCTCTTAGCAAGGCAAGAACGAAGAACTGCCCACACTTCATCCCAGTATATTATCTTATTATACATGTTCACGCTTAAAATGTTAGTTCCCACCGCGAAACAATACCGTAATATAATTCGTTTCACCTTGATATACATTCTCAAAGCGATTGAGTTAGGGGTTGCGAAATCGTACCGGAGATTATACCGGAAAAATCAGTGGTATAATATTTTAAGCTAACATCGTGGTTTAATCTCGGTTCAATCCTCATACCCATATCCGGTATTATATCTTTCCGGTTTGACCGAACTTTAGGGTGCCATTCCTAATTGCGCCAGCAACTCGATTCTGACCATAGTTAGTAAATACTCCGTTTAATACACGTATATGTACCCGTACATACTTTATCCGTTTAAAACTTCCGTATCCGTATTATTGTCAAGCCGTTTCATTTTCCCCCGTTCATTTCATGATTCCCGTACTAAACACGTATAAAACCCGTATAACACGTTTATTATCCGTATTTTACGAATTAAATTGTTAACTTTACTATTATTTATATATTTATTTATTTTTAAAATGATTAATTTTATATATTTATGACTATTAACGTACTATTAAACGTAATTTTAGCTTAAAGATGAAGTATAATGCCCGTACGTATCTTTTACGTAACTTTCCCGTACCGTATTTTACTAACTATGATTCTGACCATGCAACACTATCTAACGACACCCTTCTCTCTGCACAGAGAGTCAATCCAATGCGTTTTGGTGGGAGTATCATGGTGACATGGCCATAGGACAATGTACCCACAAACACACACACCAAAACAATTCACAACACAATATCTCTCTGTGTTTCATACAAATGCAAAGAGAGGAGATGAGATGACTGATGAGGGAGATGACCCACTTTCATTATACAGGCACCACTGCACCAGTGAACTTATGGTTCAACAGACTGGTCCAGAACTCTCACATAACATATATATATATACTGAATAATACTTTTTGCAGATATTTGCTACAGAAAATATCCCAAGAATGACATGCAGCAAGAAAAAAACCAGGCAACCCAGCAACCTTTATACCTTAAAACCAGTTCTCAACAGCAAGGTGAGTTCATGGACTTAATGAGGCAATAATCAAAGATTTGCAGATCAATACCCAGGAGAGAAACAGATCAAGCACATGTAGAGCAAACTTTAAACATTGGTGATTTGATGTTAAAGGAAAAGGGTAAGAAACCATTTACCCTGGCTGAGAGGGAAATGAATCAGTGTCCCATTTGCCATTTGGTACTACTACCATCATGTCCGGATTGTCAGCACCCATGTGCCGAAAGAGCATACCTTGCCCCACATGCGGCCCAAAACAACAAATCAAAACCAGACAAAACAGAGTACCACAAGGATGCATATGAAGGGAGGAACCTAAATCATTTTTTTCACGTCACCTACCATACAGCTTTTCACAGAACACCTGTTTGCATGATTACCAACAACTAAGACGACTAACACTACCACTAAGTTTAGCAAAAGAGTTAACAAAGTCATGATCATGGTTTCCACCCATCTTCTCAGAAGATCACACACGGGATTCAGAACCATTACTGTGGAACTTCATTGGTCTGCACTGACTGTAGAGCAGTGCAATCAATGCACCCTTAAAATATCTTCACCTTCAACCAAGGCCCGGAATTCACCACAAAAGGATGGCCAAAGACCAAAAATAAATATTGATAATTGACTGGTATGTTATTCGGTATGCAACTAGCAATGTGCAATCCAGCAGCAGGCAGCTCAAGATATGTTTCCTCTTGACCATACCGTCAACCTGCTAATAGTAATACCTGAAACGCAGAACTTGTGATATTCCCTAACTTGTAAATAAGTGGTTGCTGACCCGGCTGCTTCCAGCTTCTTTGGACAACCCTTCATCCGCCATGTTGCTTCTCAGGCTGCCAACAGTCTCCCATCTTTTAATGGATGCATAGAAATTTGACAGCAGCACGCAGATTGCAGGATTGTTGCCTTCCAGCACCAAGAGATTCTTGGCAGCTAACTCCCCTCTTGAAGCATCTTGGTTTAGAATACAAACGTTGAGTAGTGAAGCCCATATGCCACTTGTAGGCTGAATCCCGTAGCCAACCATCTCATAATACAAGGACCAAGCATCTTCTATCTGGCCAGCCCTGCCCAGTACATCTATGAAACAACAGTAGTGCTCTATGTCAGGCTGCAAACCGTATTTCCCCTTGGCAAGCTTGAATATCTGGAGGCCTTCTTCCACCAAGCCTGAATGACCACAAGCCGATAGAACAGCAAGAAACGTAACAGAATTTGGCAACACGGCATTTCCTTCCTTCCCCATGTTCTCGAACAGCTCAAGAGCTTCATATCCATACCCGTGCTTTCCATATGCATCTATCATGCTAGTCCACGAAACAACATCTTTGTTCCATATTTTATCAAATACTGATCTACAATCAGAAACCTTACCGCATTTAGCATACATGTCTAACAATGCATTGCACAATTGAGTCTCTGAAACAAACCCAAAACGTGTAGCTACACAGTGAATCTGCATCCCAGTCCGTAGATCAGAAATCTCTGAGCAAGCAGTGAGAACGCTGGTGAGGCGAACTGCATTTGGTCTCATCACATTCATTATAGCAAATGCTTCTTTGTATCTCTTGTTCTTCACACAACCAGAAACCAGAGAATTACACATCACATCATCCTTTCTCCAACTCAACCCAGTAAAAATCACCATAGCTTCGGCAATATCTCCAATTGCTGAGTAAAAATCAATCAGAGCAGTGCACAAGACCACCAGGTCACGTCCCATCGCAATCACCAAGCCATGAACTTGCTTACCCAGTCGAGAAGCCTTCAACAATTTGCATGCTTGAAGCACGGAACATAAAGTAAACTCACTAAACTCCACCCTTTGATCCCTCATTCCACCAAAGGCACCAAGTGCTTCCTTGACAAGATCCTTCCTCAAATAGCTCGATATCAAAGCATTCCAACTCACAACATCAGGAAACTCCATCTCTTCAAATACGGCCACTGAATCCACCAAATATCCATACTTGGAGTACATATCCATAAGGGTCGTCTTGCTGATGGTCCCTGAATCCGCACCCGCTTTGACCATCAGCGAATGCACTTGTTTCCCGCGTTCGTGGCATGGCAGAGCAGAACAAGCATTGAGGACAGGGGTGAAAGTGTAGGCATCGAGCCGAATCGAGGTGCAATGCATTCGTCGGAACAAATCCCACACAGCTTGAAAGTTACCTCCGCGAGCGTGAACTGCGAGTTGAGAATTGAGGGAGGACAGGCTTCTGTGAGGCAATTCATCGAACAGGTGGGTGGTGTGGGCAAAAAAACACTTCTGAAGAGCTACCCTCTCCGCCGTCTTCTGAATACCATGTCCGTAGACCTTTGCGGAGAAGTTGAGAGCGTTAAAGCAACGACGAGAAGCGTACATGAAACAGATTCTCGGCCTGCAAAAACACCACCGGTCATCTCCGCCCGCCGAATCCAAAGAAGAGGAAGTAAGGATGCCGGCCAGGGAAAGATTTTCCTACGAAGAATGAGGAACCAAAGGGGAAATCCACTACTTTTCATTTTGCATTTTGATTTGGGCCTGAATGGCCCATCCAGCTTGCTTCTTCTTCTTTGTGTCGGCCCAACTTAATAAAAAAAATGCTAGATTCATGGCTTCATTGTGGCATAAATGATAAATCAATCACAATCTAATCGATTTTGACTTTTGAGAGAGGGGAATTTTCGATTTTTCTTACACACATTTTTTTTAACGGAATGCAATTGCATCTTACCATTTAATTATGACCAATCGGGTCCAAAAGACCTAAATAATTATTACATAATTCGATGATGGATAATAAAAATTAGTGACTTAAATTCAAAAATATTCTACACCGTCAAGGTAATATGAACTACTACACCTTTAATATAATTTGTGCACTTGTTTCATTTTTCCTATAAACGTGGGAGATAGTGACTCACTAATTCCTTCCAATTATTAACCAGTGAAATTATTTTAATATGGTTATATGATGGTGATTGACTGATTGTTCTAGTTAGTTCTTCAAAACAATCGAACTACTCAAACAAGAGTGTAGTCGCAACTTCTCATATCTCAAGTCGGTTTCAATATAGAGAAACCAATCTTTGTGGAGTTTGTTAGATATGAAAATGGAGAGCAAACCAAACTGGAATGTAGAAGTAATAGAAACATAAAAGCCAAATACAAGATTTTACGTGATTTACTTGTTCATATTGAGCAACACTAGTTCAAGGAGGAACCTAGTGACTCACTTATTTTCCCTTAACTTCAACCAATCATTTGTTGTACATATGGATCAAGGATTGGTAAACAGTTAGTTGATTATCGGTTTCAATCTATAATTGAGTCGATAACTGCGGTTAGTAGTTAAACGATAAATTCTTAGTGGTTCGGTTATCGATTAGCTAATTTTGCTTATTGGTTAACCCCTTAAACAATCTGATAATCGCCAACTAGCATAACCACAACGTTTTTACTCTGGCTAAGGAGAAAAGTCTCAAGCTTAAATACCAACCAAAGTAACAATTCCATACACCCCAATCCTCACCTATCAAACAACTCTCGCCGAAAGTCCCAAATGTCGTAAGAAGTCAGAACCCGAAAGTTGTCTGCTCTCTATGACTCCCTTCTGTAGTCGAAAGAACGAACCTCACTCCCTAATTAAAGTATTTGTTTCTTTGATTTATAATGAATGATGATAATCTTGTAATACTTGTGTTTGATGTCCAACTAGTTGGTACTCGCTAATAGCCTACTATCCATTTAGCTAGCTGTTCTACATGTCCACCATTTACGTCTCAATCAATCCAGGAAAAAAAATTACAGCAGACATGAGAAGCTAATAATGCCACTAATTTTATAAAAAATTGGAGGCAAATAATTGAGGAGTGATTATAACATTAAACATGGATATAGCTGTGTTTTGTCTCTACCCAATAGAAGAAAAAAACTTCACAAATATAGATTGACGACCTTAGGGGTGCGGCGGTGCTTATGTTCTGTCAGATTGGTGCGGCAGTCATTCTCATTTGCCTGAAAAGGAAGGGTTAAAGACTAAAAGTCTTCGGTAATTACAATTTTTTGCAATTTAGCGTAAATGCATTGCTAAGTGATAACAGTAATATCACTAACTAATTACTATTCTAGTTAATCATTAATTGGTACCAATACCATTAGCAAGCTCGTCGCCGAGTCAATCTCCCCTCTCCACCTCGTCTATATCGTTGCTTGAAAAGTTTGTATCCTAGAAAAAAAAAAAGTTTGTAAGGTGTTTAGTTTGAAAATTAACTTTTCTTACATCGAAATCGTCTTAAATGGTTATAGGATGTAAGAGATAAAATTTTTTTATCAAACTCTTTTTCAACAATTTACTTATTTGACTAAGTGATTTGTTAGTTAACATGGTATCAGAGTCTTCAATCAAGAGGTTATGGTGTCGAATCCTAATGACGACCCCAATATAAACAATGGTTTAGTACAAAGGATGATATGGTCAACTTGTGCAAACTGAAAGTCTAATTGTTTCCCTCAACAGATAATATAATCAACATGTGCAAATTGAAAACCCGCAAGTAGGCTTTCTTTTGAGGAGGGCGCGCGTAAGAGATAAAAACTTCACAACCTATATTCCACAAAATCGAGTTATTGGGAAGTCTTATCGTTAACATAGGACAAGGTTGGAGTGAGAAGGTACAACTAGTTTTTTGCCCATGAATAAACACTGAATCAATTTATGATAGTTACGTACGGTGTGTTTATTTTTGGAGGCGAGCTCTTCTCGTCTCAAAATCGTCCATAACAAATGCCCACAATACAAGATTGGACCGGGAAGGTTCAACTCGTTTTGCCCAAATGAGTAGGCATTGAATCAGTTAATGATGCATTTGGTAATCACAACTTATTAGTCTATATCAACCAGCACTTTTCATATGAACATATATATTCACAATTGGTGAAGCATTGATGAATAACTCAACTTAAACGACGTAAAAGAGTATTATTCGGTACTAAAACTTCTCGCGATTGACGAAGTAATATTCTCGATATCTTACTGATCAATTTCATTCCCCTACAGATGGTTTCAAAATTATTGAAACACAACTTATCATCATGTGGCTAAAGAACCAGACCAGTACTAATCACCAAGTCATACCTCACAATTTTGGAATTCTGCAGTTAATTGATGGAATTTTTTTTTGTCTGTAGGCTAATAAGTGAATGCACACACCGGCCATTTTAGGTTTTTAGTTATTTTCCCCCACATGTTCATTGAACTTGCATGTCCTTGACCAGTCCTACTATACTGCTCCTTTTGTCCATTTTTCTGCTCCTTTTATCTTTATCAGGCGATCTCGTGAATTTGAGCTTATGAAGTGGAAGTGGTTTTTTACTTTTGGGGAGTCACACTTTAGCCCCCAACATGGCGGAAGTGAAGAAAGTTCCTCTTGGATTCTGCCGTTTGGTACACAAAGATGAAATTGAGTTTATATATAACTCGATTTGGTTTCGGTTTGAAGTAAGAGAGAAATGTTTCGGTAACGGTTGGCATGATCGTATGGTCGTGTTAATTGTTGCCATGAGTTTGCTGAGGTCGTGGTTAGTTGTATTTGAGGATTTATCATGTACCGGGGAGAAAAAGAGTAAAATTTTTCATTCGTTGATTGTGATTTCCACGTGGCCACTGAAAAAACATATTGAAACAAAAATGGGTGCATTACAATACATTTTTTCAAGTCCTTAAAACACCTCTTCAAGAGGAGTCGACTCCATATCCAATCTCGTCAGTTATTCCCCATCAGATCGTAGTAAAAAATTATGAATGGGTAAATATATATTATGACAAAAAACTATCGTCAAAGAGTTTTCGCTCGCATATGCTTAAACATCGAGACATGACCAGCCACGTTTCTCCACTTATGCTAGTGTGACTAATGAATATCAACAAATACGGTACCGCGACATTAAAGAACTATTCGAAGGATTTTCATACTGTTACACATAGGATCATATGGTGAGACCATGCGTATATATATCCACATGGTAAACAATCATCCTACATAATATGGACACTAAACTACAGGGCCAAAAGCCCATATGGTCGAGAAATGAAGGATGTTGAAAGAAGGGAAGAGATGGGTCGCTTTCTTTTGGCTACAAGGCAATTTCTGCTCTTAAATGGACAGGTGGAGATGTTGAGACCGGGAAATGAAAGGAAGAAGAAGAAGACAAGAGGGAAATGGTGAAGACGGGAAAAATCTTTGGTGAGGGAGACACAAGATTGCATTGAACACGACAGAACAGCATAGCTAAGAAAGCATCCTTTTAGTCTATTGGGTTTTTTTCATGGTCGAGACTTCGGTCATGACTTTTGTCTTTTGTATTATTATTAATTTTTTTTTATGGTTAATCAAAAATTCATTAAACACAAGGTTCCCTTGTAACTAAGGATCCTCTCATATGTTCAAATGTCACTTACCATCAACCATCAAAACCTGATAAATCTACTCAGAACTGTAGCTAGGAAACCGAAAAACTGGGCAGGACATTACAAGTAGGAAGACTATGAATCACAAAAGCAGCTGATGATCGGATCCGAGCCACTAACTGTGAAGCTGATTTCAGAGAGTCATCTCCATGGCAGCGACGACAACGTTTCTTCTAAACAAAATTCATCACTATACGAATAAGGGATTGGTCTAAGTGGTAATACTACTAGCCTTAAACCTGGAGATCCCAGGTTCGAATCCCTTCAATAGTACCTAATTACAAAAAAGAAACCTATACTAGCCAGTAGCCGCAAGATCAGGCTATGTTTGGGAATAGAAAATTGTCTCCAAACTAACTCAGACCATGAGACTAACGCTCGAGAGTCACGAATAGAAGTCATACTTGTTTAACATAATATCTAGGCATAGTGAGGTTTGACCACTTGACAGAGTCACCAAACTAGTGATGAACAGATGAGCCTCCTCCCTAGCCTTCAGAACCCTCTTCCAGACCCAAAAACCAACTGAGGTGGGGCTGGGTACAACAAGACCTCTAAATCGAGTGCTATTTTCACTCACACCCCACAAAAAATTGTTACATATAACCTCAATATCATGCAATACACTCTACGGGAGGAGGAAAACACTCATCCAGTATTGTAACACACTGGAGATGACAGAGGACACCAACTGAAAGCGGTCTGCATAACTCAATAGTTTCGAGCTCAAGCCACGAATCCTAGTTGTGATCTTATCTACAACTACAAGACACTAACAGTAAGAGCTTGAGAGCTTGCCTAGCCAAAAGATGGACCTCTAAATATCTAACTGGAAAGACACCAAGAGGAAAGCCCGTTGAAGCAGCAATAATCTTTTGAAATATTTGACTCTTTTCTGGATTGCATTTAAGAC